CATCTGAATTCTTTAATTAAATTATTCATAATCTCGTCTTTCAAGTCTTCATACTTGATAGATTTGTTTAAGTTCAACACGTAAATTTGGTAAAGTTAAGAGTTAGGTAGATTCTAACGTCTTAACTGCAATAGATCGTAGTTAAAATTTCGAGTAGAGACTTAATAATGTGATTATCCTAAGTTGAAGAATTCTACGGTGATAGTGCAGATCAGGTACAAATTTGTCACTTTCAAGCATATCAATTATTTGGGGTAGCAATTCTACAGAGTGACCATCAGAGGCAGTGTATGACTTCCAGTTCTGTTCTATTCAACACTTCTTTATAGGATACTCTACAAAGCGCAGTAAGAAGGAAGAAGTGTAAATTAATATTTGATAAATGTATTACAACATTAGGTTTAGAACATTCAAAATTGTTGTAGAAGAAAATTCAAGCCAAAACGCGTTCACTGTGCTGACTAACTTATTATGACTCACTTACCAGTAACTGGTTACTCTACGATAATACAAATATGTTTTTTAGGTGGGTTTGACGATAAGAAGCAGAAAAAAGCATAAAAATAAGTAATTATTTAGTATTATTAGTGAATATGGTAGACAGAACGAGATCAAGCACATTATTTTATATTTTAATTAAAACTCTGTGCGAAAACATACCAGGTGTAAAAATTAGAGATCTTAAGAATACAAGCTTTGTTTCATTTGTTGTGTAGTTAGAAAGGAAAGTCAGCACATCATTTTATCATTTTTCATTTCCAATAAAATATTTTCTTAAAGTATCTTTTTTCTTTTTAGTGAAATCAAGGTCATTAATTAGTGTTTTGAGAGCTTGTATTGCAGACATTTTTTTGGTTTGGATAAGTTCAGAAAGAGAAAGGATTTGTGAAAACTCTGTATACAGTATATATATTAAAATTGATCATTATACAGATTGTTCTAACTCATCAGTTGATCAATTACGCAACTGATTTAATATAGATATCTGTCATACCAGATTACCAACAATCATGCTTTACAATACTTTATATAAAAAAATGCTAAACTTTGAGATTGTGATGTTCATCACAGTCTCAGGATTTCGTAATTTTTATCTAGTGATAAGCAAGAAGAATATTCATGATACTTTATTAATATATACGAAAAATAAATACAAATGTGAGAGTATACGGTAAAGCCTCTATACTACAATTGTGAACTTGAGTTTATTGCTTGAAGTATTGCAGGTAAGACAATATTTCAACTTATCTTAAGAATACAACTTTGATAATTCAGGATTATAAGAGAGCTGATTCCCATTTTTGCAGTATTATGAGCCACGTAATTCATAATTTTCATATTTTTCATCACAAATAGGGCATAGTGAACTCCATGGCTAATGTAATGTAAAATTATAATTATCAATCCCTCTGAAACTATTTCTGAATTTCAAGTATAGGAAGTGCTTTAAGATGAATTTGATAATTAATTCTAAATTGGGTCTGATTTCAAAAGTGATAGGCTTAAAATCAGAGGTTGAGATTCTGTTAACATATTTATCACAGCTTTTGGTAATTGCCATGGCTCATGCCCAGTTTCTTTTTTATATTTTTTGTATAAGCTAAACTGAATCTTATCTATTAAATGTTTGGTAATCCACTTAATTTAGCATACCAGTTCAGATATTTAGAAATTAATATTTTATCAGACTTGATCATGTTACCTTTTTTTATAATTGCAAATTAATCTAATTAGGTAATAGTTGACATGTGTAAAAAATATCACATAATAAAGTGTCAGTTAGCAAATATAGTCACAAAGTAATTTAACTATGCAACCATCTCAATTTTACGCTGTTCACATTTAATAAAATAAGATTCAGCTTTATATGTACCTTCTATGCTTTTCTTATCACCATGCTCTAACTTGTATAATGGACATAATTTCTCGTTGGTAATTTCATAATAATCAAAATTTTTAATACTAAATTCTCTATATAAATTTGAATATTGATCTAATGTCTTATTTTGAAAATAGGTGCAATCATAAGTTAGCTTAAATTGGAATGCAGATGATACACTTGCGATCACCACCTCACCATTACAAAAATCTTCCTTCTTAAGATCTGTGAGATCATTATCATCTGCTTTAGCTAGAGTGATTTGAGATGTAGATGATGTATTTATTTCAGGCAAGATTTTTTCAGGACAGGCCATCTCAGAAATTTTAGTTACATTATCAACTTTCAGAGACAACTTTTTCAAAGATATACCATAATCTATGATCTCTTAAAATTATGCATCAGTAAGCTCTAAATGGAATTTGCGCTATATGAATTAATATACTTGATCTTATCTAGACCCACTTTTTCAAATAATTTATAGTTTTTTTCAGCTCTCTGAGTTTTCTTACGCAAGCTATTTCATGATACAACCCTAACTTTTAGCCTTAATTCTTGTATCTTTTCTTGCGAAAGATAGAAAGCTGTTCTGTGATGGTGTCATAAAGCATACTTCTCACCTTCTTTTCACCAAATTTACCACCATTGCTTCTGATAATCTCATCAAACTGATCTCTGAAATCCTTCCAGTAGAGGTACTAACATAAAATTTCTTTCTGATTAGCTTAATTTGCCCTATCTTCAGCATTGATGGCTTTGTCACATAACTGAGCTAGATGTTATGAGGCTTCATTAATGCTGTCATAGGTAACTTTTCTAGGACGGGCTGTCTTAGAAACTTCAGTCATATTATTGTGATTTATAGGAGATGAGGAATCTAATTCTGAAGAGGATTGAATAATTTGTGCTTGAGTTCATTCATTTCTTTTTTCTTGTGCAATCCATTATATAGCTGAATAATTGAGTCGAGAACTTAAGGCTTTTCTTCTTCAGATAGGATCCTATAGGAACTAGGTATTGAAAAAAACTCTTGAGCTTGGCCGGAGGCACTAAAGTAAAGTTTCTTCTCCTTATTACATTGCCTAATCTCATCGCTAACCTTCTTCTTTTGCATTTCATTCAAGAAAATATCTATCTCCATTTCTTTCAATGACTTGAAGCTGACAGGTAAAACTTCTGGTATCAGTTCTTTTGGTAATGAAGTATAAGAATTGAAGTTAGATAGCTGTTGTTAGAAGTATTATTATTTAATGTTTGCTTCTATTCTACTTTCGTGAGTCTATCTCTAAACTCAATATTCTCAGATTTCAACTCCTTAATTCTGGCCTTGTGTTTGGTATTTTTAGCATCACGCTTCATTCTCTCTTCCTCATTCATTCTTAGAGCTTCAGAAATTTTGCGCTTAAATTCAGCTCTTTCAGCATCAAACTCTGAGATCTTTCTTCTAAGGACTACATTCTCAGTTTCAAGTTCAATAATATGTTGTTTTGATTATTCAAGCTCAGATGACATGATCTACATATAACTAATACACTGCATATAAACATTCAAAATAAAAATTTTGTGGGATGGGTTGTCTCAGAAAATCACTAAGAAAAATTTTTTATTAATAGGGGTTTACTAAAGTAAACGATCATCATACAAGTAGGCATTATCATTATGACAAACTTATTCATTGTTTCTCTTTTTCAAGGTGACGATAAAGTTTTTTGGTATGCTTGGAGCAATAGCCTGTATAAGATAATGTAGGTTTATCGCATATTCTACATGAAGGATTTAGCATATTATTTGCATCTGATTTCCAGTGAAGCGAGTATCCTGCTAAGCAAATGCAGACTTAGCTACAAGTGCTCCCATCCTTTCTAATACGTATGCAGGTAAGACAATCTATTTATTATATTCTTGCATCTTTCTCATTATAGAATTTGAATTTCAAAATGAAAAATCTGAATTGAACTTGAGTAGAAAAAGTATATCATAAAGGAAAATATATATCACATTATACTACTTTATTTTTATGGACACGCAAAAAATAGTACTCAATATTTTAATAGGCCGATGGATTGATCTAAACAGAAAGTTATTTCAGAAGTTAATTCATGAAGGTTACAGATACGCTAATAGACTTTTAGATTATTTAGAAGATATTAGGATCACATACGTCTATGAATTTAAATTAGATCCCTTAGCCGACTCCTACTATCTAACCTTAATTTCACCTTTATCTGTCTTAGCAATTAGAGTAGATATTTGTGAAAAATTTATTATTAGTGTGGAGTCTGCTATTATAGGAGGAATGAGTCTATTTACTTTAGAAAAAAATAAATGATCTTCGCTTCAGAATCTAATTCAAATGAACTATTTCATTGATAATTTGACTATGTTAATAGGAATAACTTGAGAACAAGAAGAGATGAAAACTTAGAGGAATGACGTGCTTATAAAATTCCTCCATCATTCAAATTTAGCTCCTTCAAAGCATAGCCTAGATGCATTATATGATAAACTAGTATTTTAGGGTCAGAACATATATTGGCTTTAACGTGAGCATTTTGTTAAGGTGTAATTATGATATAAATAAATTGTTTATAGCCCTGGAATGGCAGTTCTATGACTAAATATTTTTTTGTTTATCACATATACCTGCAAAATTCAATTTTTTTTATTAATACATGCAAAAATAAATACAAATGTTCAAGGCGTAGCCCAGAATACATGATAAATTTTCTATGCTAATGACTCTAGACTTATACCGCTTATTTTTTTATCTGTTTATAAAGATTTTGCCATTGTATATG